ATTGTACAAGATCTACCCCCTTCTGGCAATCTGAAGCCAAACCTCCTGGGCAGCTGGACTTCCAGTAGTTACCAGTTGGGCATCAGAAAGATAACAGAACTTCACGAGTTTGTTGAAAACGAAACTTGGTCACTTCAGCTGCGATTTCTGCTGGCCCACAGCCTGGAAAAGTGGCTGCGTGTCCATATGTATCCCGGGCATGCCCGCACATACTTCTATACTTCTATACAGGGCTCCAGACCACCCCAACCTCTAAACTATAAACCCTGAGTATGTCCTAAACTCAAGACCCGAGGGCTTCTAAACTCTAAACCCTCAAACCTGGACCTCTCCACCAAGGCGCATAGATCCAAGCCCCTCAACCCTAAATCGAACCCCAACCCTCAGCCCTGAAGGAAGCCACCTATATACTCGAAGTAAGCCTACACCCTAAATTCTACACCCCCAACCTTGCCCCCTGAACCCTACACACCCTAGGCCTGAAGCGCCAAACTCTAACCAAACATCTGTGGCTCCAGGCAATGGCCACGGACCCAGCCGGTGCCTCTCACGCAAACGAGAGTTCTACGATGTTAGGGTTCCAGTTTGTGCTCGAGTGGGTAGAAGACTTCTGCATCAAATTCCTAGGGGCTGTAGTTAGAGGTTCTGGAAAGGAGGGTGCCTTTGCTTGGGGGTAACTGTGGGGGTATGGAGCGTTCACGGTTTACCGCATTTTCAGCCTACTCTTGCCTTTCCCGAGATCATGGACCGCCCTGAAGACTATACTATACAGGCTTGGGGCCTACAAGTAAGCCCTCTGGGGGTATGTGGGGATTGCAAGCAAGTAGAAGGGTCATCTAAGTCGTTTGGGAACTACCTTAAACCCTAAACTTTGTAACAATCACCAGCCTAGCTGGTCTTGCTCTATAGATTGTTTTTGTTACACAATACATTGTTGCTGAGAAGCTTTCATACGGGGCTAGGAGTGCGCTAATTGTGGTTAACCTGCTTGTAAACCCTTTTAGAACCTAGCTACTCAGCCCCCTGTGCCTTCCTTCAAGCGTTGCTTCTCAAAGGCGCTGTACATCAACAGAAAACACTCATCAAGAAACAACTGTTTTAGTTGTCGTCTCCATGATGATGCCGATTATTCGTTTTGTTTTCGTGCATGGGGACTGCGGAATTCCCTTGTGGCAAGTTCAGAAGTTCAATGCTGATGCGTCAAGGTATCCTGGGGTTCCATGACAGATTCAATCCCCTGTCTAGCCCTACGGACAGTCGGTAGTCGTGTAATAGCAACCTGTACACGTGTCAAATATAGAAGCAGGAACAGTTACCAAGACCATTTTGATTTCTAGAGCTTTATCATACCCATAGAAATAACCTAGGCCACTCCCTAAACTTAGCCCACATTACCCTAGGAAGAAAAAAGATCCGTCTTACGTAAATGTAAGGATCCCATACCCTCTGCATTAAAGGAACATGCTGTAGTCTCGACTGCTAGGTTCCCATGCCTTGGGCAGCGGGTGAAGGCTGCCTACGTCCTAACCCAAGCTCCTAACCCTAAATCCTACAACCTAAACCCTAAACCTTACAACCTAAACCCTAATCCCTAAACCCTAATCCCTAAACCCTAGTCCCTATAAACCCTAAACCCTTCGACCTATACCCTAATCCTAATCCAGCCCTTCACCGAGGCTGCTGCTCCCGGCTGGCTCCCGTCGGCCCAAACTCGCAGCGTAGACATGGGCAGAAAAAGCCATCCGTACGCCCAGCCCCGCTTTCGATACTACTGTTGATACTCAAATTCCTGCGTGACCTGAGCATACTATATAGTACCATAATTCCCACGGTATGAGATACTGAGGGTCGTGCAGGATTTTTAGTATCCACGGTATGATGTCATTGGGCTTAGGGTTTAGGGTATAGTATGATGTAATACCCATGCAAGTCAAGGACTACCTTATACCCAGAGGCAGTATGTGTTTTTCACCAGGTTGGCGCGCAGCATGTATTTCCATTTTGTTTTCCGATTGATTCTCCATCATTGGGTACCAACCCAAATCCCTCAACCCTGTATGGCCTTTCTCAAGGTGTTTAGGTTTGAGATCCAGCCACTTGTTTGGGATGCTGCCATTATTGGGGGATCACGGTCGTGGCTTGCATAAGTTTAAGCAATTGATGTTGGCTATGGCGTGCTGTAGAGGATCTCTTTTGGGTTTCAAATCCCCGTCTAGACTTGAGGGTTCCAGGCTCGGGGTTCAGGACTGTACCACTTCACTTGAAGACGACTGGTTCTCATGGTATGATAAGACTGTAGCTGCGAATCATCTTCGAGAGGAATGCCCGATCATTCACGGCATGCAAGGGCTTCGTCACAAGCACGGAAAGACCCAAACGGTGTGTTATTTGGTAACGGGGATGAAAGGATGCCAAGTTCCTCCAGCAACCAGGGCGTGTTGCAACAATTGCGAAACAAGTAATTTCCTCGCCCAGAAATTAATCAACACCACCCCACCTACTTTAAAAAGATCTCCCTCCTACCTAAAGGCTCCCTCCTACATGAAGGTTCTTTCTTGGAAAAGTTTGTGCTTTGGGGGTTGCTTGGATGGTCATGGGGACTTAGTAAGTTGTAAATAACCCCCAGAAGCCGTACAATAACCCCAATTATCCCCATTATTAACCTACTTACCAAGTCCCCATGACCCTCCAAGTGGGGGGATTACACCACACCAAAATTGTGGGTCCATCTTGTTAGTCTACACCTTGGTTCCCCAGAAAGAATGAAACGACGGCCTTTTTGACAAAGAATGGGTTGCTGTTAAGAAACTTAATCTAAGGTACTATAACAAGGGTATACGCGAGGTAATTATTTAGGGGTATATAAGGATATGTAGGATTTAGGGTTTAGGGCTTAGGGTTAAGGGTTTGGGCCATTGTGGTACATACTTTGGGCGTCCAGGTACTATCCTAAAGCCCTACACCCTAAACCCATTAGGAATGTGTCAATGGGGTTCTACGGTTTGCAACAACTGGGCCAGCAAATGCAAGGTGCTTTTGAAGGTTTGGGGTCAGGATTGTTGTTGGATGCATGTGAGCTAGAGAAACTCCTTGAAGGGGAAGATCGAGTGGACTATACAGGGGAGTTTTCTAGGGGTCATTAAAAGGGATACTAGGAGTTTAGACTACAGCTCATGTGATGGTTTGGGTCCCTCACGTGGTCTTGCAACTCGTTGACCGCCTACAGAGTTTTGATATGACCAACTGCGCTCAAACGTCTAGGACCTAGAAGGAAGTCTCATCGAAAGTTGTACACTTAGCACTTGCAACGCAGGATATCAATACCAGCTCTGCAAGCATCAGGTTCATACCATCCACGTAACTCACATGAAAGTCAGAAAACGAAACAACTTGTACACAAAAGGTCTGCTTACAAAATGCAATGCAAGCCTGCCCCGAGACCTTGTTGCTCACTTTACTCATCCCCCATACATTCTATCTACGTAAGGAATCGTAAGGATGAGTTTGCCCAAAGGTGGTGTAGCACGGGCACCCAGACTGAAAGCCGTCCTTTTCTCTCATTGCAAACAAATGATTTGTCAATCAATAGCAGTGAGCCTTGTGCAACAGACTTGCTCGTGCGCGTAGCCGTGCCGCTCAGGTACGGGAGCTCTATGAGGCTGTGATAGACCAACCACGAAAACGACATCAATTACATCTAACAACAGCTCAACAGCAGCTGTATGCCGTCTTGAAATAAGATGTAGCCATTGCTTTCACCTTTTGGAAGAGTAGGAAACTAGGAGGCTATAAAAGGATGCCATCTTCAATATGAACAATCTGTTCACCACACATGTTCAAAGGATTGCTCTCAGTTTCAGAGCCGTTGGTCGCCAGTTGCCTCATCAGAGAGAAGGGGTGCAAGTTTAGTGTGCAAGATTCAATGGTTCTTTGTGTGTTGGAACCGTGCAACTTCGGCATCCTGGCATGGTTGCCAAGGGAAGTTAAGCCTGGGGTTCTTGGAGACCACATCCCACCCCGGCGCTGGGTCTAACACAAATCCACTACTGACATGGCACAAGCTTGTCTGGAATGAGGTGTGTAGACAAGAAGGAAATCTTAGCCCCAGTCAGCGTGATAGTTTTCACGCAGGAACGCCCTCCTGCAAAGAGCCCTGAATCCCGCAGCAGTTGCGAAACAGTAATAGAGATGCTGCATGACATATTCATACATATTCGATACACCAAAGCCAGATCACAGTACCTCACCGCTTCATCCTCAGGGCGCTGCTTCATGTACTTGGCGAAGTTGTACTGATAACAGACATTAGGAAAATCAGAGAGCTTCCCGTGTAAACTGACCGACTTGCGCTCAATCACATGAATAAGGCCACCCTCTCCCGAGGTTCCTGCTTAACTAACGTGAATTAGCCCTGAACATCCCAAGATGACGCTAATAAGGGTGGCCCTGGGGCAGGGAAGTATACGGGGGGCTATAGGGGAACCCTTATAGTCCTCCTTAAGTAGATAGATTGTGGCTTTGGGTATATTATAACGACATCCCCATATACCCCATATTCTATCTACTTGAGGGGGACTATAAGCCTAAACCGCGTCTTGCTTAGAGGATGGAATTAGAACAGGGTTTGAGGGGTATGCGATTGTAAGTCTATATGGCTTAATTGTATCCAGACATCTGTGAATTTACGGATTATAGGGAGATGTCAGAATTAAAAGACGATTAACCCTAAACCCTAAACCCAAATACACGGTTTTCTGACATTCTGCAGCGTCTAACCTATTGGGCCATTCACCACACACCCTGGCCATCCAAGCAGTCAAGCGTTTTTAGCCCAAGATTTAGAACCGGCGTGTTTCAATTGCCCAGCTGCAGAATGTCCCTAACATTTTCATTCTAACTCCAAAACTTGCATCCTAACCCAAACTTTCAACCTCTAAAATGCCTCCAAACCCTAAATCCTAAATTGCGTTGTGTATACTGCACCCTGCCTGTCAGAAAGGTCAACTTTCTTCAGCTGGCTCCTGCAGCACGGGTTGTTGAAGGACCGCCAGGTTCTTTCCATTCTTGATAGCGATGATGGGCTTTGTTGCTTTTCTACGTGGATCTGCAGGTGGGGTGGGTCAATCACTGCTGTGGATCAGGGGGTTGCAATCAACGATTCTCAAAGTTCCGGCTTCCTTTTTAAGGTCAAACAAACTTCGGCTCTTGTTGTGTGAGTCCCTAGCTTGCAGGACAAGCAATGTCAGCTAGTATGCCAATATAACCCCAACATACCATAGTAGTTTCCATTTTTATTTTGCATTATCCCAATGTAACCCCAAAATACTATAGTAGCTTCCATTAGACAAGGATGCTTGTAGGGATCCAAGGTGCGGCATGGGCAGCCTGTAACCATGGGGAGGACAGCTTGAAAACACCGACCCGATTGAGCCTTACTACTGCGCTGTGTACTACATAACTTGGAGCGCACCCCACAATACGATATTTGACTAGAGCCAGCATCGCAGCCATCGCCATAATACCGGGGTTTCCATAGATAGGGCGCGCAATATAGACCCCAAACTACAGTCCTCATAATAATGACCCGTCAAAAAGCGACACCAACTGCGTGGAAATCCTAAAACATGTATCCAAAGTCGGGATCGGGTATCCACTGAAACTTCTTGCTTGGCCGCATCTGCCTCGCCAGCATCTGCTTTGCCGACCTCCTCCATGGGCGCACAGGGGCTTCAGTTAAGGGAGGTGCCAGATGGGGAGTTCCTTTTTTGTTTCCCCTACATAAGGCTCACATGTCGGGAACTACCCCCTTAATTGTCCTTGGATTGAGGATATAACCTCTTGACGTTTGAAGCTTGGGCCGGTGAGCTCAAATGCTCGTCCAGCACTTCAAGGAAAATCTTTCACTGGGGCTCTACGTCCAAAAAGTAATACCTCGGCACCAAAAGTAGGTAAAATAATAGCCCAAAACACCTAAAACCGGCACAAAAGGCTATTATTCTACATACTCTTGGGGTTCAGGTACCTACTGTGGGGTTAAAGATTGTACTAAGGTCTGTAACAAGAAGCTACTTTGGGCTATTTGGAGCCCTAGGGCCTCTTGACCCGAATTGTTGCAAATGCCCTATTGCTAACCCCTAGACCCTAAATCCTTCAACCCCAAACCCTTAAATCCATAAACCCTCTGAATTTTGATAGTCAGTATATTCTCCGCTTGGAGTATATATACCCTAACGGTCCAAGTACTCAATAGTCATATACTTCCCTGGAGGATGTACTACAACCAGCACTGCCTAACATGCAAGTACTTAAATATTGGGTAATTGAATACAAAAATGAGAGTGCTACCATTGTGACTCTGATTTTCGTACTATTGAAGCCGTCCTAAACCCTAAACCCTATATAACCCATTATTGTAGTTTCCATTTTCTTTTCCATTATCCCTATATAACCCTGAAGAACTGTACGGTACTTTGCTTAATCTTCATCTTTACTTCTTTGTGCTAGCACTGCTGCTTCTGCCACACTACTGGGTTGCTGTTAAGGAACTTAAATTAAGTTACCATAATGGGTATATATAATAAATAATAGTGTTTCCCCAATATAGTAACTTAATTTAAGTTCCTTAACAGCAACCCAGACTACGCCTCCTTTACCTTTAGTTACTCACGGAGATCATAGTCCTCTGAAGCTAGCTAGTTGTAAATTTGCGGAGAATGGAGGAATGCTTTCCTCCAACATACAACACCCCTCCCCAAGAAAACTCGGCAATTTGTATGTTTTCCATTCCCCTTGCCCCAAACATCAAGTCCAAACATGATTTCCGTGTTTCTTCAATTAATTGTCAACAACACAAGAAAGTCGCCTCTTCATCGTCCGTCTTGCTCTCATCCTTCTTGACAGTCACGTCTTCCTCAGCCTCCATGTGAGGTATAGTCTAAACTCCTTAAAGGGGACTATATAGGGAATTATATAGGTGACTACTATAAGGGTTACTAAGGGGGATGCTAGGGGTTTAGACTGTAGCTCATGTAGCGGGTTCAGCAGATCTTTGATGCACGGAAGCATACAAACAAGTCTGAGCAACGGTGAGGAGAAGCAGCCCTGTGGGATGTAGAAGGCCAGTCCTGCCTACTCCTAGGAATTGAGGCTTAAGCTTGCTTCTACCTCATTGAACCAGAAGCGCTAAACCCCAAACCCCAACACCTCACACCCCAAAGCCTGACCATAAACCCTAGATGTTGCCGTCCGTCACCTTGTCAGCAGTGTCGACGGGTGGCTCGACTTCCTAGGCTCGCTTACTACCTTAAGGATCGCGGGACTACTCTGGTCTTTCTGTGGAAAGGTTTGGGCTTTGGGGAGGATCTCAGTATGAGGGTCCAAGAACCTTCTGGCGAAAGTAGAAACCGACTAGGGGTTCGTCATACGACATCCCATACTTGAATGGATTGTCATCTCCGGTACACAGGATGTCTTAGGGTCTTAGGGTGCTACAGATCCTTCTGGCCCCTAAACCCTACACCCTAAACCCTACATCCTAAAGCCTAAACCCTGCACCTAAAGCTTAAACGCGATTCTAAGCACAAGGCGTGGGGTCCTTGCTTAGGGAGCTCGGTTCTGCTCATCTCCTTGCGGCCTGTGAGTCTGCTAAAATGTGCATGCACCCCGCTTCAAGACTGGAGACCTAAACCCTGAAGCCTTGACCCTAAACCCCACATCCTCCAAACTTGTAAACAAAAATACCTAGGCCTTACACCCTAGATTCTAAACAGTAGTTGTCATGTTCGTTTCCTTTATCCTGATGAAATATCCCTGCATTGTATCCCCATGTCCCATGATCACCCTCAATAATCAGTGGCTTCTGGGGCTCCAACTTCCTCATCTGCTGGAGAGGCATCTGGCTTGCCCGGCGCCTGGGCAGGTTAATTGGGTTTAGGGTGTCTAGGGTTTAGGGCATTTAGGGCGTGGGGTTGAGGGCATTTATGGTTTATGGTTTAGGGTCAAGGGTGAAAGACATGACATGGAACCCCGAAAAGTCCTGGAGTATACATAGGGGTGCGCAGGGGTTCTACCCCGCAACTACTAACAGGGACCCTTAGATTGCCCACTAGCTAAAAACAATAATGTCTTTTGGGGTGGCTCTTTGTACCCCAAACCCTATAAACCCTAAACAAGGAAGTCTACCTCTGCGGCCTTCTCGAGCGACTACCCAGAGAGACCACTCGCCTACGGGTCCTGTACACACTTATATAAATTTAGTTTGGGGTCGTTACAGTAGAACTTGTTGCTTCTGCTATTGGGAGTATATGATACTGATGCTATATCTATGTATATATATATATATGTGTTGGGCCCTTAGGTATCAGATATGTTGCGTCAAGGAGAAAATAGGTACAATACAGTAGAACTGGTTCCTTATTGGTGGGAAAGAATTCAGAATCATTGCTGCATACTCCTTATGAAAATTGAGCAGGGTCAGCCCCGTTAGTACCTATCACGATGACCCCTGTAACTTGCCTATAACCCTCACATAAAATGCTATGGTAGTTGCGATACCCTTTGGGCCAAAGTACCCAATAATCACGTATTTCGACAAAATCTGTACTACAACTCCTTCCCTAGGCCAAAAGAAGTCTGCACTTTTCACGGTTTAGGGTGTAAAGTAGGGTTATAGGAACCCGAACCCAAACATGCTCAGTGCAAGGCAGTCAATCATGAGACGGACCCTGAAACTAGTCCCTGGTGTGTAGTAGGAATTGAGGGAATGGGTTGCAGGACCGAATTTCAGGGTTTTCTGGTGGATTCCTAAAATTATATGTTCCTTTTGGGGGGGTACCTATGGGAAGGGCCATAGTATTTTGGGATTTATATTGCGTCCCCCTATTCAGGGAAACTCCCGTAGGGACTACTGCAAACCTCCATTGCCTCAGTCCCTACTCAGTGCCAGGTAGAGTGGCCTATATTCAACCCTAAATCCTAAACCGCTACTATACCCCAAATCCTAAACGAGCCTCCGGGACTCCCCAAAAAAGGTACCCCTTAATTTTGGGAAACCTCCATATAAGGGTACTTTGGGCTTCAGAATTCTATTTGCCATGTGGGGTGGTTTCCAGAAACAATGGGAATCCGTATAGGTACCCCAAACCATTACAATCCTCATCCAGGGGAGGGGGGGTGAAAGGGTTAGGGTAAAGAGTTAATTCTGGGTTGGCTATTGCCTTTGAAAAATATTCGCGTATAGGGTCCCCAATTAAAGCCATTAGCAAAAAGTATTAAATATCCCAGCGGCCTACACGGAATTTATGACAAAACCCAGCAGACCCCAAACCCTAAACCCCAAATCCTAAACCCTAAACCCCAAACCCTAAACCCCAAACCCTAAACCCCAAACCCTAAACCCTAAACCCTGAGCCCATCACCTCTTCCTCACCAGCATCGGGCTCCTTAGGTGCCTGGCAAGTGAGTCTGGCTCTTCACAGCATTCCCAGGGAGCTCGAAGTCCCTCAAATTGAGGTATCATCCCCTCCCCCTAATATTAATCCC